ATCGTCAGGCATACCAGCGACGGTTTCACCCATCGGCACATAGTAGGTATCCTGTGCCCAGCAATAATTTTCGGCATACTGTAAAAAATATTTACGGCTTGGCATGGAAGATCAACAGAGAGTGAAACATCAAACCTGTTCCCATGAGCTGCTGAATATGTCGGGAACTAGACATTCTATCGGTTTCCCTCCGAATTGCTGCAAAAGTTCATAGATTTCTCAACAAAACTAGCTTGAACATATAGGCAATGACAAAAGCACAGTTCTAATGCTAGACTGAAACAAATCGAAATTTGTGTCATAGTCCAAATAACGACATTGCATTTCAAGGAAGGGTTTCCACCTCGAAGCCATTAGCGAAGGAATGGCTAAAGAAACCACGAAACACTGAGACCAGGGCCCGCACCACATCTGGTGAAAAGTACTACGACGATGAGACACTGCACACAAAGGAGAGGAAGCAGACGAGAGAGAGAATCGAAGAGCAGACAAAGGCATCGCTAGCCCTCCCCCCTCCCACAACACACCCAAGCTTGGACCGTCACTTGCTAATAGCGGTTGAATGTATTCAGCCGAGTGACCAAATCTCAGCTCCCTTAGTATGTCTTTTCGTCATGTTTTCCTCCTTTACAGACACTGTATCCTACATCCACATGGGCGTGATGCACTTAACTTAATCGTGGAACGTGAGAAACAAGGAAGGCACATTTCGCGATCAGGGGAAGGAAAAAAGTCAAAAAATGCCTTCCTAATCTTCAAATAGTTCTTCTGACAAGGGCGGAAGTGGTGTAGTGGCAAGTGGCACGCTTACCGCGAGCGGTCCGGGATCAAATCCTGGGTCGTGAGTCGCCCGGGCCAACCAAGCCTTCCATCCCTCCGGGGTCGGTTAATTGGTACCAGACTTGTCTGGGAGGATAAAAACACTGACTTGTACATCGGCTGGCCCCCGCAAGTCATTGTATAGGCCACATCGCATTCAAACGCCACTACGATTCAAATGGAAGTAGAATGCGTGGCGCATCCCAAAACGGGATTGACCGTCTTTGAATGCTTATCGTTAGTCTTTTTTTCCCTTCTTCTGACAAGGAAAAATATTTGCGCCAACATTTGAGTGTTTTTTTAAATATTGCACAAGGAAATGATCGTATGATTTGTAAAATTATTGAGTTGATGCATAATTATTGCGGCTTTTTTTCAACAAACTTTATTCAGCGAAACGATAAAATATTTAACAAAAACATGTTTAAATGATTTTTCGGAGCGTAGTCACCATCCTCAAAGAATGCTTCCCATTTGCTTGGCAGTCGGTCGATTCCACGGTGAAGAAGTCACGATTCTTGGAGACGATCCACGCTCTAACATCGGCCACCAAGTCATCCAGCTCGTCGTAAATTTTGTTCGTTTGCCAGTTTTTCAACGACTGATTGAAGTGGTAGTCTGTAGGAGCTTCGGTCGGTAAATATGGCGTTTTGAACCTCTTGAACCATCTTTCAACTTGGCTTTTGCTAATTGTTCCCTCGCCGAAAAGTTCGTTGAGATCGCGAAATGACTCTGCCGCCTTCCAACTTTCTCGAAGTGGTAGAGCATATGTGGCGAATATGAAGATGATTTTCGATAAGCATTTCTGTTAATGAAAGAGAGAAGATATTGTAAAATTTCATGGAAAATAATAAACAAAACGCCAATTTGGGTGCTAACTTAGTTGGGGGGACCACGCGGCGGCGCGGCGCTCTGTTCGTCTGCTCCTCCAAGGCTTAGTCCGCCGATGGCGCGTATTTCGAAACTGCCACGTGGCGACGAAATAGTAACTGCCCCTTGGACTAAGCCTTAGAGGAGCAGACGAACAGAGCGCCGCGCCGCCGCGTGGTCCCCCCCAACTAAGTTAGCACCCTAATTTTTTCGGAAAAAGACGGCTCGAAAAAAAGCCGCCATAATTATGCATCAATTCAATACCTTAACGTCATGAGCTCCACAACCATCAGCGAAATGAACTATTAAGAATTATTAGAAAAAAGTGGAAGAAAACATACCTTAAAGCTGACAAGTACTGCAAGACCAATTAAAATGTTGCATGTAAAGTAGGAGTGCAGTCGATCGACAAAATCCCTGTCTTCACTGCCTGCCACATAGCGCAGCATAGACAGTACGGCACCGAGTACCATGATGACAGACTTCTACTTCAGAGTTGCAGACTAATATTCAAATATTTTCTCTGCAGGGAAGTACACTTGCTGGACAGCAATAACCAAGTGAGCTATCACGTCGATCGATGAGCAAACATCTGGAATGATAGTCCTACAGAGGAAGGAATTGCGCTTATCAGGCATTTTATTACGTACGGATACAAAAAAGAAACCCATAGACATCAGAAAAGAGGCCATTCTTTTCTTCTCGTATCATATGATTTCTTCTTATCTTGTACATTCAGCACATGCATTCCTATGCCCCGAGTCAACCCTGAATTATCTCTACTGTATGTAATGCGCTAAGCCTGTCCTTGTCTATCTATCCTCCTGTCGTGAAATTCAGTATCACCTGAACTACCACCTATATGGTCTGGATCAAAGTCTGGGTATAAGGGACATGAGTCTAGAAGCACAAAAGACATTTTGGTTGGGCGGAGCTCCACCCACTGTAGGCGGGCACGCGCCGAATTGGGTGGTGCCGACGAAATAGTTTCGAAAAAATTAGAGCAGCCTAAAGACGGGGAGAAATGGGTAGAGGTGCGCATAGATTTACTTTAGAGCGAGCGTTGGGCGCAGCATTCTCTAAAGGGCGTGCTCAATAAAAAAACTCATAACCCGACAAATAGAGAAAGCTTGTTGAGCACAAAAAATGGTCGGGAGAGCGATATACCAAATGTCCCCAGCACCTGAAGTGGGCGAAAGCCCGCCCACTGTGGGCGGAGCGTGTCCTTGAGTGGGCGGTGCTTATTACAAATCCTTATAATCCGGTTCCAATAGGTCCTGGAGACCGGAAAAAAATATAACTCGCTTCCAAGAAGCCTGGAAACCGAAGTAAGGGAACACACAGTTAGCTCCAGAGGGCCTAGACGCTTGGAATAGCGGATAATGGTTGGCAAGGGAAGGGAGATCTAATGCTATCAGTGGGTAGCGCCGAGGCGAGCGGGGTTTACCATCAAGCACTATAAAATATCGATTTTCCTGTTTTATACATCGCAATCGTGTGATGCACGTGAACGCGTGCGTAGCCAAACTGAAGAATGATAAATCAATAATATGGACCATTTATTTCAGTATACAACCCCCAACTTGACTTCCTTCCGCCGTCGGAAGTCCCACGCTTCTGTTTACACCATCAACTTCCCTTTCTTCTAGGGAATATTCCCCTTATACAGATAGCCACTACCAAACCTATCGCCTCAAAAATTACAACGATGGGCCCTAAATTTCAAAAAGAGGTGGTTGACTAATATCGGTAATATAGCTCAACTCCTGTTTCACACCTGGAAAGAGCAGAGTACCCGTGGGCATCATAACACCACCGAACTTACAAAGTTGAAAGCAGCGATTACGATAGGCTTAAGAAGGGTTTAAAGGGACGTAGTGGTGCTCAGTGGTACGCCAGTGGCGAAAAAGTAGAGAAATCGTCAAGAAAACGCGAAACGGGACCCATTTCTTGACCGTTGGTTTTCACTCATGAACAGGTAACAGCTCAGAAAGCGGACGTATGAACGAGTTCATCGCAACGCGTTTGGTGGCACCATGCCAAACCACGCTTTAATCGAGATGCTCCAGTTGTGCCGCTGCTGGCAACGCAGCTCGTCCAAATCACCAACTAACTAGTGGGCGGATCGCTTTTGGGGGCGGAGTGCTTTCGAAGTCCTGCTCAGCAACCAGCGCACCTTTCGTCGTGAAAGCGCTACACCTCGCTTCCTGGCAGCCAAGTAACTGATTCGTGTGGTGCATATGCTTCCCCGATGCGCTTGTTCTTATCGTAACGCTGCTTAAAGGACGAATTCACGATGAAAAAGCAACCCATTTCAAATTAACCTAGGGATGGTGAGTGGTACACGAAAGAAGGAAGAACCATGAGAAACGGCCCAGAACCCGAGAAATGGACCCCTTCCTTGCCCGTTGATTTGAGCATTGATGCGACTCTCATCGCTGTGCCCTCTTCAACACTACGCTCTCTCAGCTATCTAATCACTCGCCACGTATTGAACTACGGCGAGTGATCAGATGATCGGTGGGCGGAGATCGCCGGACCCGCCAGCTTTGAGGCATGATAGGTCGCCGAGGTCAAATTTTTCCATGCGAATTGCGCGTCAGTTCGCACCCTCAGGAGGTCCGTGGGTCCCTCAACTAGGTCAGTTTCCCTTTCTTCGACCTTCATTCTAATCGTGAATTCCTCCTTTTAAAGTTCCACTTCCTTGCAGCGATCTCACCATAATCAAATGCGACGGCGGTAAATTAAAAGCTATTGATGTGGCCCTACCTAACTCACCTCCATAATGATACTCTTACGCTCAAATTCATGATGAAGTGAGTTTAGAGGCGATAGCGAAAAGTGCAGCAACGCCAGTGGGGGGTTGAATTGCCCCATGCAGGTAAAACTCTTCCGTTCTACTTCCTCACAGGCACACGCCGAACATCGTAGTAATAACAGTCTCTGATTCTTCGAACTGGAAGTCCTCAAAACTTATGAGTCCCGATTCTCTCTGACAGCAGTTCATGTGTCCTTATGATCACCGTCACATCTCCTTACCGGTATGAGGCACAAAACCCCTATTGCTTGGCGTACCTTTGAATTGCTCGAGATTTTGAGGTCGAAAACACCCCGTATGTTGGCGTTTTGCACATGTGGTGTATTGTTTTCCCACCTCCCTCCCCCTTTCTCCGAAACAGATGTGATTTCGCTTTTCTAACTGGTTTCATTAATTCCATTCAAAACATCGTTAACTCCCCTTGTTGTTTCGATTCCAAATAAAACCCTCCATAGAGCGTACAACCTGCCCTCAAATGCCACTTATCGACTTATCACGTATACAACAACGGCTTTACTGAAATGAACTGTAAACTGTATTAAAAAGTCAAAAATGGCTCGATCAATAGCTTCTGAATGCATGCATTCGTGAAGAAATGAAAGGGCCACGGGAATTGACGGAAGAGCAACGGCAGACAACTACTGAGCAAATAAAACGGTAGAACAAACACGCACGAGTGAATGAATTACGATGCTGTCAACTTTCGATTTCGAGCAGCCAACAAAGGATCACGAAATGTATCAGTTCTAAAAAATTTCCTCATAATCTTTTACGCCATCAACTGGCCAAATACTACCTGTAGAAGGAAGAGGAAGCTCTAGTATACCCTAGAATTTGTGGGAAGTAAAAGATAACGAAAGATATCACACGTTTATATTGATTCGAAAGGAAATCTATAGACACAGCTGGCAATGAAAAATTTCCATTATGTTGCCGACACAGAGCGTGAATCACCAAACCAGCAGGACATAGGGAAATACAACATGTCGCGCCGCCTTTTGCAACCTCGTCTGTTTGCTAACGCTGGCCATACCAACACGAATTTCAATAAGCTTCAGACGTCTAAGCCTACCTGGTATGCTTAAGTCGCAGAGTAAACCTAGGTCAACGCTTCCAACCCAAATATTGCAGCTGTGAGAACAGCTTAACTCACAAATGCATTCAAAAAAACTTCGAACGTTATCAGACGCTCACTTTATATGACGAGTGACAAAACTTCCCTCCAATAGTTTTGCTGTAGCCTGACCAAGATTTCAGCACTTTTTATTAGGCTTACGTTTCGGCCTCTTCGCCTTCGTCAGAGCCTGAAAAGTCGAAAAGCAATTGAGACCGATCCTTTCATGAGCCAAACAATCCTGAAGACAATTTCTCCAGACTACTAAACCAACAGGCGGTATCGATTGAACCAAGAGGGCTACAAGGCTTACCTAGATCTTTGTCGCCAAGGCGCAAGATCGACCACCCAAGAAGCAGACTTTTAGCGTGGAATGAGCAAACCTATCTCTTCTTCCTGACCTCACCGAATGGTTTAGTAGTCTGGAGAAATTTCAGGATTGTTTGGCCCATGAAAGGATCGGTCTCAATTGCTTTTCGACTTTTCAGGCTCTGACGAAGGCGAAGAGGCCGAAACGTAAGCCTAATAAAAAGTGCTGAAATCTTGGTCAGGCTACAGCAAAACTATTCGCATCAACTTCCATGCCAAGATTAAGAGAAAGTCGTTCTTGGACTATCCCCTCCAATAAATTTAAATATGAGTCGTATTGCGAAAAACTTCGGAAAGAATAAAAGTTTTCTTCAAAAACGATCAACGCATGCAATCAGTCTTTCCATATGGTAATCCTGGGTTGTTACCAATCAAAACACGACATCGTCCATATTCTTACTATCTTCTCTTTCAATCGTTCTCAATACCCAACTAATGTGCTTTCTTTTGTCGCAAAGTATGAATGTATCGATCAACGGAGAGAGGAGAACAGGTGTAGAAACAGAATACATCACGACGATCAAAGAAATTTCCGAGTCAAAAAAACTCTCACTCCGAACGGTACCTTCTCCGTCTGTCGCCACGTCACTATACTAGCATTAACCATCCTCGTTTTCGGATGGTCCGGATTGGTTCGTCTTTCACATTCTTTTTTCAATGGGATGAGATTTATACCCTACAATTGCCAAACTCCAACTGCTACTTAATTCTCAATTGCTTAGGAGAAAAGCGCAGCGTGGGAGTGACTCACACTCAACGCTTAGCCCTGGCAACCATCTGGCAGTTCTCCATGCGCCAAAGCGGTCCTCATTTTATTGGGATCCTTAGAACAATATGTTCATGTCCGACAATAAAATTGTTAGAGGGTATACGGCTTCTGATAAGGAAATTTACTTATTTATTTATTTATTTATAACGTCACATAAGGCAGACGCAAGAAAGCACAACACAGTAAAGTATAACAATTCACTTAACTAAGAATAACTCAAAAGAACTTTTTTAGCGAGGCGTTTGAAGTGCATAAAAGCAGGAGAATGTAGTGCTAATTTTGATTTAAGTGAAATGAAAATTGATCCAGCTCTACAGGTGAAGCTGTACAGCTTCATATTGGTTCGAGGCGTTGCGTATGAAATTTTCACAGATCCTCCTCTGGTTCTAGATTCGACCCTAGT